CCCCCCCCCCTTCCCCCCCTCCCCCCCCCCCCTCCCCCTCCCCTTCCCCCCTCCCCCTCCTCACGCCGCCGCACGAGACGGCCCTGTCGACGAGAGCGCCTCGCCCCCGCGGCAGGTGCGCGAGCGGGTCCACGTCTTCGGCTCCGACGACTGGGAGCCCTTCCTTGCGCGCGACCTCGACGCAACCTCCATCGCCCTGCTCCGCTCCTCTCCGGCCGACCTCCGCAGCTGGCGCGGCGACGCAGCAGGCGGTGCGGCAGCAGCAGACAACGGGCTCCGCGGCGCGGCCGAGAGGGAGGCGGCTAGGGAGGCGGGGCGGGCGCGACCCGCAGCCTTCGCCCCGCCGGCCAAGCCCGTCCGAGCCGCCCCTCCCGCCGCCGCTCTCCGCGCCTCCGTCAGCTCGGACGCCTTGGCGCTGCTCCGCCGCTGCACCTCGGCCGCCCACGAGCCTCGGCGGAGCTCGCCCGAGGGGGTGAGGCGCGCGCGCAGCTGGCCGGGGCGGCTCTGGGGCCCCTCCACGGGCGAGCGGCGCAGCTCCGTCGGACGGTACTACTTGAAGTGCTTGCCCGCCGCCAAACATGTGCACGTGGCCTGACCGATGCGCGTGTGAGGTGTGTTGCAGCTCCCTGTTCCCGGCGACTTGTGACCTGTGAGAGTGGCTGCGTGACTGTGTGGAATGTTGGCGGCTGTCGCGCTGTGTGAGCGGCGGGTCGGGGGGACGTGTTGTGAGCCCTAGGCGCTAGGGGGGAGCCCAACTCTGGGTTTTGGGAAGGGTTGATGACAAGATCAAGTTGATTGGTACAACTGGCGTTCACGGCACGATCGATACGCCACACGGAGCATGTGCGAATCCTGGTCGGCGTTCACGCACGAGCGAGACGCCACGACGAGACGACAGTTCCAGCCCTTCGACAGCGCCAGTCTGTCCTTGGCAAGCCCCGATCCCCTCGCGCCGTTTCACTCTCTGCCGCCGCATGGGCAAGGGCGGCTCGTCGACCGCGGCGGTGGAGGCGCCCGCGGTGCGCGGCGCCAAGGGCAAGCTCGTGGCGCGCACCGACTTTTTCTGGGACGACAACGACGAGCCGCATGCCGCGCGCCGCAAGGCGATCATGAAGGCGCACCCCGAGGTGTCAAGGCTGACGGGTCCGGAGTGGCGGTCAA